TCGACGTAAATATTACGACTACATTACGACGAAATAAAATTCGTTCTTCATTCATCGTAATATCGTCGTAACGTTACGACGATTTTACGAGGGTCATTTTTTACGTCGAATTTACGACAAAATTTTTGATCGTCGTAAATACGACGTAATGTTGTCGTAAATTTACGACGACTAAAAATCGTCGTAAATAATTCGACGGAAAAGCCCCTCATTCTTGTAGTGAGTCCCTTGTGTTATAAAAGCGTGTGAGAGAAGTGAAAAGACAAACTGAATGAATGCAAGATGATATATACAAGATGCATATGTACAAGGTTTGAAGTCGATACCTTAGTCGGAGAGGTCAGATCCCAAGTAGTGCGAGGGATTCGATGTTGAGCAGGAGGGAGTGGGCTGACGTGGTGGGCTGCTTTCTGAGGGTTCAGGCAGGAAAGCAGTGGTTGGATCGATCTAGCCTTCTTTGCCTGGTGGAAACTCCGGGTTCCTCGCGTTTGAGCTTTCTCCAACTCCTTCTTCTGTAATCGGTGCGGTTGAAGTCGCTGAGTTCTTATCCGGTGAGGATGGCCTCGTGAGCTGCTTTACTTTCATCTTTAAATGCCTCACACAATCCACCAATGCGTGGATGGTTTTGTCTTGCCACTTACACAATTTTTGGAGGGTGTTCACTCGTGAATACAGCTTCTTGGTGTGGTATTCAGGCTCACCCCACACTTGCGGATCAAAGTGATAGCGGCTTGCTCCGATCCTTCTCTCATAGTTTCTCTGCTCCTCATTATCACAATCTTCCGGGCCATTAGTGTTCTCGGGTTTGCTAGGTGCTGCCTTGGTGCATTTGCGTGTTGGTGGGTCGAAAGCTGGGTTATACAACTGGTCTTTGAGAACGTAGAATGAGACGTTACACTGCTTGTCGAGCATGTTGAGGCAGCAGAACCTGCGTGCCGTCTCTATGCAGTAGGGTGAAGTTGTAAACCCATTTGTCCCCTGACTTGCCTCCGAAGAAACCACTTTTACTTAGGTATAACTCATCAATGAGATTCGGCTTCTTTGGTGAATCAGGGAATATAAACCCTTGAGCCCTCAGGATCTTGGTGACTATCCAACCGTTCTGAAGTCTTCTTGCTCCTCGCTTCTTGCGGTCGCACCATACATTGTGCCGATAAGTGAGCATTTGAATGGCAAAGAATGCACCCAATGATGGTACATGCAGCGGCCCTTGGAACTCTTTCTTGTTCTTCATTTGAGTGATGAACAGCTTCAGTCCGAGTCCCAACAGTTCAAGCTCGGCCGTGTGAATAACAGCAGGGTTAAAGGTCGAGAAGAATGTTGATGCTAGGACGCGGTTTGCGTATCTGATCGCAGGGTTCCTTATGCAGCTTGTCTTGCTCTTGCCTCCGAGGTAAGGTCCAAAAGATATTGTTTCCCACAAGGCGGCCAACTCATCACGAGGGTACACAAACTTGTCAAGCGAGCTTCCATTCCTTTCAAACCCAAAGATTTCATCAAGCTCCTTGAAACTGACCTTGTAGTGCACGCTATCCATTTCAAACTCAATGTGGCCGAATCCTTTGCCATGTAAACGCTTTGGATCTCTCTTGGGGTAGATGATGACCTCCAGGGTTGCAAGAAACTGCTGTGTAATCCCTTCATAGGCAACATCGCTCATCTCGAAGAACTTTTCTGATATGTCTATATTTTACATCATTTAGATTGCATTATAGAGTCCTCATCATGTGTTTTCTCATGTAAATTGAGTCTTTAGGCGTTAAAATAGGACTTAGGGCTTGCATTAGGTCCCAAAGAGTTTTGCATGTTTTGAAGTCTTTATCAAAAGCTTTGGAGACCAATTAGAGCCTAAGAAGAGGAACAGAAAAGAAAACGGTGAAGAAAAGGGTCAAAAATGGTGAAAACCGCTTGGAGGAATTTCTCGGCCAAATCTCGTACCGGCTGGTCGGAAACCTCGGCCAAAATGTTTACCGGACGCTCATTATCGGCCAAAAACCTTACCGATCGGCCAGAATCGAGTATCGAGTGCAAAAATACCACGGGATAAGTTTTTGACTGAGGCAAGAATTTTTACGACCAAAAAGCTTACCGCGGTACGCAGCCCTCGGCCATTTTTCTTACCGCGGGAAGGTTTTTACGACCAAAAGTTGTCCTTGCCTGCGCAATTCAGAGATCAGCAATCCGGGGAACCTTCCGGTCCGAATCAGTTGGCAGGGTCTTCACCAAAGTTGGAGATAACCAAGCAAAGATTCCAGAACGGTTGGACTCATCCAATTCGGACAAGTGGAGAGAAAGATATGGCTTCCGGAGCATTCACCAGCATTGCGCGTACCCGAGAACTGAACGGCGAACTTCAAAGATCCTGGCGGACGGAGCCCCTCCAGACCGAACCAGCTTACCCGGTCTTCACCAAAGTTCGAGATCCATGGAAGATCTTCTCAGAGCATTTGGAATCGCTCAATTCTGAGCAAAGGTTTGGAAGATAGGGTCTCCGGAGTTCACATCGGTCTAAAAGTCTATTTTCCTGTGATTTCAATGCGGCGCAAAGATGTTAAATCCAGGAAGCCTTCCACTCCCCAAGCTCCGATGGTTTCTTCACCAAAGTTCGAGCTTATTGAGTCATCTTGACTGTGGAACTGGTCCCAGAGCAATTGGAGTCGTGTGCTGAAAGGTACTGCTTCCGGAAGGTGACATGGTCGATACAAGCCTAAAAGAGTTGCGATACGCGCTAAGTATTCTCACAAGCCTCGGTATCTTTACCTTGGCTTCACTCAAGTCGAGGCTCATATCTTGGAAGTATTCTGGACTAGACCTCGTGCCAAAGCCTTGGCATGGTTAGATCGAGGCATGCATACGTAAGAACTGCAGCTGGAAACGACTAAGTGTTGAAAGTACACCTCGGTGTAATGACCCCGGCGTGCATGCCGGACTGTGTTCTCCCAAGCACCTCGACATCATGACCCCTCGAAATTTTATCCCGAGGTCCCTTGTCACGAACCCAGAATCAAGAACAGAATGGCTCAAGAACATACACGTGAGGATAGATCAAAGACTAGGGTTCATGCATGTTCTTGACGTGTTCTTCACGAGATCTTCATCTGGATCCTGACTCACGTGCACGCCTCGGCATGAAGACCTCGGCTTCACTTTCCGACACAACGTGGCACTCACCCATCAACCCAAGAAGGCGGTTCAGTACCCGGTTTGTTCCGGGCTGACCCGCGACACTTTCCCTTTGCTATAATTACATTTTGAGACTAAAAACCTAGTTATCTTATCTCTTATCTGTTTTTAGCTCTAAGAACTTGCCTCTTTTGTGAAACTTGATTAATCTAATCCGATATCTCGTTTTTGCATCGGAATCTTGTTCTTTCTTTATTTCTTTTATCATCCAACATCAAACTCCTTATCATGACTAGCTACACGTCTTGCAAAGGACTTAGTGAGCTCGTTATGATCAGTGAGTAATCGTTTAAGCGGCTTTAGATAGGTAGATTAGGGTGCTTTCAAGGTGGATTAATGGGTTTAGGTGTCTAGTCTTGCATGTTTCATTCCTTAACCGACGAGATCTCTAAGCTGGATCCAAGCACATCACTTGAGGTTAAGATCTGAGACATATCTCGCATCAGAAGTGTTTGTAGAAATGTCTGAACCACTCGGTTAAGGGTTTAAGAGTCTTTCATCGCGAGAGTGATAGTTTGTTCTCTTAAATGACGTTTTTGAACCGATTCTTATTGCTGACTGATTCGTGCTTCTCAAAAGGGATTTTGGTATGAAAGAGGATCAGTTTAGACGTTTAATACTTTCATAAGAAGATTAACGTGCCTTGAGTTCAAAGTCAAATGAAATCGCTTGATAAAATGATTCATTAGCCCCTTAGTCTAACTTGGAAGCACCCGAGTCAAATATCCTGTCTAAAGCTTCTGCCTTTATCATTCATTACCATCATCTGAATCACCTGTTTGTTATTTGCATCTTGATTAGTTTAAATCTCTGCTTTTATTTAACTTTATTGCTCATTTACCTGTTAATCATCGTCACCAAACTTTTATCATTTTGTCTTGACTTAAGTAAACAAATGACATAGGCTAGTGTCTCGTTTACAAGCTTGGTTTGACACCCCTTATAATACTTTGACAAGGGGATTGATAACCCTTCTAAGAGCCTGAAAACTCTTAGTTATCAATTGGCGCCGTTGCCAACTTGTAGGAGTATTAGTCTCTTGTTTGTTCTTGAGTTCAAGCTTTTCTTTCCTTTGTTTTACTAACTTCTTTCCAAGTTCTTGTTTTGTTTTCAGGTGCATGAATACCAGGTCTCGGAGAACAGGATCGCTTTTCCCATACGACGATAACATCGACAGATTAGAAAGGCGAGCTCGCGAGAGAGAACGACACTTTGACAGACTTGGAATGGCAGAACAACAGAGAATGGAGCAACGGGCTCAGGCAGCCGAGCACCAGGCTCAGGCTAATCAGGCGCAGGCAGGAAGAAATGAACAACAAGCCTATGTTAATCAGCAACAAGCCTAAAGAAACGAACGGCTTGCTCAGCAAAACCAACACCAAGCGAATAGAAATGAACAACAAGCCCATCATGTTCATCCGCCACCGCCCCAAGTTCAGAGACAACATCCTCCAATCTGTGTGGGAGAGAATGACCGAGCTAATGCGCACCAATACCGAGCTGGGATTCAAGCTCCACCAGTTCAAAACAACAACTTTGAAGTTAAAGCTTCCCTGCTCAATATGGTGCAAAACTCAAAGTTCCACGGTCTGGCTGGAGAAGACCCTCTCGAGCATCTAGATCAGTTTGATCGGGTTTGCGACTTAACCAAGATAAATGGCGTCTCCGAAGATAGCTTCAAGCTACGCTTGTTCCCTTTCAGCCTCGGTGATAAAGCACACCAGTGGGAAAAGAATATACCGAGGGGTTCTATACAAACCTGGGAGCAGTGTAAACTGGCGTTCTTATCAAAGTTCTTTTCCACATCACGCACGGCTAAGCTCAGGAATCAGATCTCAATTTCACGCAGCACAATAACGAGAGCTTTAGTGAAGCTTGGGAACGGTTTAGAAGCTACACTAACCAATGCCCACACCACGGCTTCTCAGAGGCATCCCTCTTGAGTACTTTATACCGAGGTGCACTCCCCAAGATCAGAAACCAACTCGATACAGCTTCAAATGGGAATTTTCTTGGAAAAGAGATCACTGCGGCAATGGAACTAGTTGAGAACCTAGCCATGTCCAATGACACGTATGGAGAGGACTTTGATAGAGCAAACCGTACAGAGGGATCTAGTGATGAACAGCGCATGAAAAAGGATATAAGAGAGCTTCAGAGTAAGCTTGAAAAGGTTTTGATGGCGACTCAAAAGCCAATACACTTTGTAGGCGAGTTTGATGAGCAAGGGCCAAGTTTTGACAATGTCAATGAAGATGGTCTAACACAAGAGGAGCTGAATTACATAGGGAATCAGCAGAGGTATCAGCGGTTTAACAACTACAACAGTAACCCAAACCTCTCATACAGAAACCCGAATGTAGCTAACCCTCAAGACCAAGTGTACCCTGCTCAACAACAACAACAAAGCTATGCTCAAAAGGCTCCTTTTCAGAATACCTTCCAGCCCAAGCAACAGTTCAGTGGGCAACAGCACGGCTACACTCAGCAGAATCAAGCGGCTCAGAGTAACAACTTCAACAACCAACCGCAGCAACACAAGTTTCCACCAGGGTTCCATCCGCAGCCGATGGGTAATCAACAACAGATTCAGGGAACGGGTCAGAATCAAATGGGGAACGACGTCTGTGGGATACTACAGCAACTGTTACAGGGCCAGCAAAGGGTTGAGAGCCAGCACGCGACAATACAGCAAGATATCAGAGAGCTTAAGCAGAATCAAGCTTCTACATCATCAAGAGGCCCGGCTTTACCAGGTAAACCGGAGCCGAACCCTAAAGAGTATGTGAACGCCATCACATTGAGGAGTGGTAAGGAATTACAAACTCCAACGCCTAAGACAAAGCTCATTGAGCCCAATGAGCAATTAGAGGGGGAGGCAGCCTCAGACGATGCATGTAAAGAAGCGGTCTCAGAGAAGGAACCGATCAAGGACAAAGGAAAAGAGGTGGAAAAGACAACCGAGCTTGAAAAGCCCTATGTTCCACCACCACCTTATCAACCCAAGATATCGTTCCCAGGGCGTTTCAAAAAGAAAATCCTAGACAAGGCCAAGGCGGTCTTTGAGAAACACTTGGAGAACACACAACTCACCTTACCCATTATAGATGCTTTCTTAGCTATACCCCAGCTTGGGAAGTTTCTAAAGGACGCGAAACTCAACAAGACAAAGGAGCTCCAGGGTATGGTGATACTGAGCCATGAGTGCAGTGCCATAATACAAAGAAGATCTATACCAAGGAAGCTATCCGATCCGGGCAGCTTCACTTTGCCGTGTGCTTTTTAGGTCACCTGAAGTTCTCAAACTGTTTATGTGACCTTGGAGCTTCTGTGAGCTTAATGCCTTACACGGTGGCCAAGAGATTGGGATACAAAAGCTACAAGCCAGCCAAGATATCTCTTGTATTAGCTGATAGATCGGTTAGATTACCGGTGGGGTTGTTTGAGGATCTACCTTTGAGGATCGGTGAGATAGAAATCCCCATGGACTTCATAGTTCTTGAGATGGACGAGGAACCATTAGACCCTATCATCTTGGGCCGACCGTTCTTAGCAACCGCAGGAGCCATAATAGATGTGAGAGGAGGAATGATTGAACTACACATCGGTTCCGAGACTATGAAGTTCAACGTGAAGGAAATGATGAAGAAACCGACCATTGGAGGTCAGGTTTTCTATGTGGAGGTGATGGAGGAGCTGGCTGATGAGCTCCTTGAAGAGTTGAATGCAGAGGATCCGTTACAAGTGGTCTTAACGCGGGAACAAAGCGAGCACGGGTACTTGAACGAGGAAAGCGAGGTGTACAAGCGTCTTTTGGACCAACCGAGGGAACTTGGAGTTGAGGCGAGGTTTTTGGAGCTCCACACGAGCAGCCTCGACATTCTAGAAAGCGAGGAGTCAAAGGGAAAAGAAGAGACACCTCGGGATATCATGGCCGTAACAACTCATACCGAGGCCAATGGTAAACCGCGCGAGAATGAAGCAAAGGCCGAGGAAGCTGTTCTGGGCCAATGCAGCTTTGATGCCGATTGGAATGAGGTAGACGCACCCCCTGTTGAGCTCAAGCCTCTACCAACAGGGCTCAGGTGCATTCTTAGGTCTAAACTCTACTTTTCCTGTGATCATAAACGATAACTTGCTTGAGCATGAGGAACGTGCATTACTTAGTGAAATAAGGAAATTCAGGAGAGCCATAGGGTATTCCTTGGCTGACATTAGAGGAATCTCTCCTGATATATGCACCCACAGGATCCACCTAGAGGACCAAGCCATGTCCTCTATTGAGCACCAACGTCGACTTAACCCGAACCTCAAAGAGGTGGTTGAGAAGGAGATACTAAAGCTCCTTGAGGCAGGGATAATATATTCAATCTCTGACTCTCGGTGGGTATCTCCTGTACACGTTGTGCCCAAGAAAGGTGGGATCACGGTGGTGAAAAACAATAAGGATGAACTCATAGCCCAAAGAACTATAACCGGCCATCGCATGTGCATTGACTATAGGAAATTGAATTCTGCATCAAGAAAAGATCATTTTCCTTTACCATTCATTGATCAAATGCTTGAACGGTTAGCTAATCATCCTTATTTTTGTTTTCTCGATGGATACTCGGGGTTCTTTCAAATACCTATAGACCCCCGAGATCAAGAGAAAACGACATTCACCTGCCCTTATGGCACTTATGCTTATAGAAGAATGCCATTCGGTTTGTGTAATGCACCAGCCATTTTTCAAAGATGTATGATGCACATTTTCTCTGATCTAATTGAAGAGAAAGTTGAGGTGTTTATGGATGACTTCTCCGTATACGGCTCCTCTTTCTCCGAATGTCTTGCTAATCTTTCTTAGGTTCTCAAGCGGTGTGAGGAGCATAGGCTTGTCTTAAACTGGGAAAAGTGTCATTTCATGGTCCAAGAAGGCATTGTCTTGGGACACAAGGTATCAGAGAAAGGCATCGAGGTGGATAAGGCCAAGATCGAGGTGATGGTGAACTTACAAGCCCCGAATTCTGTGAAAGGAATAAGAAGCTTCCTTGGCCACGCTGGGTTCTATAGATGGTTCATCAAGGATTTTTCCAAGATAGCCAGGCCTTTGACCAGGTTATTGTGCAAAGAAGTGGATTTCAACTTTGATGAAGAATGTGAGGAAGCGTTCAAGAGAATCAAGGAGGCTTTGATCAGTGCACCGATTGTACAAGCCCCTGATTGGTCTTTACCATTTGAAGTGATGACCGATGCATCTGATTATGCTGTAGGAGCTGTCTTGGGACAGAAGAAAGATAAGAAGCTCCATGTGATCTACTATGCCAGCCGCACTTTGGACTCGGCTCAAGAAAAGTATGCCACCACCGAGAAGGAAATGCTTGCCATTGTGTTTGCATTTGACAAATTCAGGAGTTATCTAGTGGGATCAAAGGTCACGGTTTACACAGATCACGCGGCCTTGAGGTACCTGATGTCTAATAAGGACGCTAAGCCGAGGCTTTTGAGATGGGTCTTATTGCTCCAAGAATTTGACATGGAGACACTTGATAAGAAGGGCATTGAAAACAGAGCCGCAGATCACCTCTCAAGGCTGAGGATTGAAGAACAGGTCCCTATAGATGATGCTTTACCCGAGGAACATCTCATTTTAGTCCGGTCTTACTTAGAGGTGGAGGAAGCCAATACGATCAAGGAAAGAGGCCTTCCATGGTTCGCGGATCTTGTGAACTACTTGTCTTGCGGATTAGAGCCACCAGACCTTGATACTTATCAGAGGAAGAAGTTCTTTATAGATGTGATGAGGTATCATTGGGATGAGCCGTATCTTTACGTGCTTAACAAGGACCATCTCTATAGGCGATGCTTGGCCGAAGAAGAGATCCATCCAGTGCTACAAGAATGCCACGGCTCATCGTATGGTGGTCATTTAGGTGTGTTCAAGACAGTTGCCAAGGTTCTACAGAGCGGTTTCTGGTGGCCGACCATGTTCAAAGACGCCCAGGAAGTGGTCTCGAGGTGTGAAGCTTGTCAAAGGCACGGAAACATATCCAAAAGGAATGAAATGCCCCAAAACCCAATCTTTGAAGTAGAAGTCTTCGACTGTTGGGGCATTGACTTCATGGGTCCCTTTGTAAGCTCATATGGGAATCAATATGTCCTTGTAGCAGTGGATTATGTGAGTAAATGGGTTGAAGCAGTTGCATCTCCGACCAACGATTCAAAAGTGGTGGTAAAACTCTTCAAGAGTATCATCTTCCCACGGTTTGGAGTACCAAGAGTAGTCATCAGTGATGGGGGAAGCCATTTCATCAACAAGACTCTTGAGAGTCTTTTGAAGAAGCACGGAGTAAAGCACAAGGTGGCCACCCCTTATCATCCGCAAACCAGCGGCCAAGTGGAGGTTTCCAACCGTCAGATAAAGGCCAGTTTGGAAAGGACCGTGAACTCATCCAGGAAGGATTGGAGCAAGAAACTTGACGATGCTCTGTGGGCTTACAGAACCGCCTACAAAACCCCCATTGGAACCTCACCGTTTAACTTGCTCTATGGGAAGAGCTGTCATCTACCGGTTGAGTTGGAATACAAAACCTTGTGGGCAGTGAAACTTCTGAACTTTGACATCAAGACCGCACAAGAGAAGAGGGTTTTACAGCTTCATGAGCTTGAGGAGATCCGGTTAGATGCTTTCGAGAGCTCTAAGATCTACAAAGAAAGAACCAAGGCGCTCCATGACAAGAAGATACACAAGAGAGAGTTCAAAGAAGGGGACCAAGTTCTGTTGTTTAACTCAAGACTCAAGCTGTTCCCAGGGAAGCTGAGGTCTAGGTGGTCCGATCCGTTCACGATTCTTGAAGTAAGACCCTATGGAGCCGTGGTTTTGAAAGGAAAAGATGGACAAGGCTTTGTGGTAAACGACCACAGGGTAAAGCATTACTTGG